TTTTGAAATTTTAGTGTAATGTAACATAGATGTGTAGGATGTTTTAGGAAATTTTCAGGATAATAGAATGTAATGAATGCTTCGGAAAATTTATTAAATTCTAATTTAACAAAATTTTGAATTCTAATGGCTAAGGAGTTCGAACCGATCAAATTTCATGATAAGATGGTCAATGTGAATTATGTTAAGGTAGATTTCATGGTAACCATAAGGTACCATACCTTTGTCCACACGGATCAATCAAAATGTTGCAATTGAATTATTTAAATCTAAAGTGAAAATAATATAATGATTTGGACGAATCAAGTGAACGGTAGGTTCGGTATCTCATATTTAAAATGGGTACGAGAGTTGTCACCTAAAATAATTGGAGTTTTTTCCAAAACTAATGTTAAATAAAATAATATTTACCAAAATAAGGTTAGGTTAGAAATAATTTCCAAAATACTGCTCCCCTAAACCCCAGTTAAAAGAACTGCCACTTCAAGTGGCGGCTTATGCGAAACTGAATAACACAGGTAGAAGCAAGGCAAAGCACATTAAGGGAGTGTTTGCAACTGCTTCTGCTTAAAAAAAGCACTTTTGGAGATGTAAGGAAAAAGTGATTAGCAGTAAAAGTTGATAGTGTTTGGAAAAAAAGTGATTCTGAAAAGTAAAAGTTGGTAGTGTTTGGTAAAATAAGTGCTTTTTGTGTAATAGAAAAGGGAAAAACACTTTTCACACGCAAGCCGAGAAAAAGTAAAAATTGGTAGTGTTTGGTAAATAAGTGCTTTTTAAAGCCAAAAGCTGAGAAGTACTTTTTTTAAGCACTTGCAAACACTCCCTAAGCAAGTAACGGACATCGTAATATTGAGCTAGGGCCCCACAAAAATAAAAATCCCATTTTATTTCAAACTGATATAACTTTTTTATTTGTACTCAAATCATTACAAAAAATACACCAAGATTTATAACTTTTTATTATCTTTCATATGACACCAATATTGAATATATAAAAAAAATTAACACCTTTTTTGTGTGTAAATGTTACTCCCTCTGTCCCGCTATGATTGTCCCATTTTACCTTTTCGGTCCGTCCCACTAAGATTGTCTCGTATCTTATTTAGTAAAATTTGTGTGGTTCTAAATCATTCTTACTTTATTAATTGTATATCAACCACATAAACCTACTTTTATTAATAACCGTGTCACTTTCTCTTGTCCCAAACTTAGGGGGATGAAGGTAGTATATCTTTTTTATTTGTACTTCATCGTTACAAAAAATATATTAAAATTTATAATTTTTTGTTATCTTTCATAACAAACTAATTTTGAATATATAAAATTTAAAATCATTTTTGCTAATTTGTGCATTTTGGAATCATTATTTACAATGCCACATTTATTTGGAGTTATAGGTTAAAATAAAACTGCACAAATTCCATCATTTTTATTTATTGTTTTATTCCTTGTGTAGTTTTAGGATATTTTCTTTTGACTTATTTTCAGTCCCAGATCAGATCAGATCATACCAAAGATAAATAGATCAGACCCTACTTAAATAGATCGGATCAGGCGTAAATAGATCGGATCAGGCGTAAACAGATCAGATCAGACTACACCAGTCAATTACAGTCCAAAAAAAACATCCTTATTCTAATCTATTATTGCTGATTATTTGTGTGCCCAGTAAAAATATCATAAACTGCACAAATTAATAGAATTAATTTTTTTATTTTACATATTAAAAATTGGTGTCGTATGAAATATAATAAATAATTATGAATTTGTTAATATTTTTTGTTACAATCGGAGTACACATAAAAAGATGTAACATCTAGAAAAAAGGACATTTTTAAAGTATTTGTTTTTTAATTTTTATATATTCAATATTGGTGTCATATGAAAGATAATAAAAAGTTATGATTTTTGGTGTATTTTTTGTAATGATTTGAGTACAAATAAAAAAGTTATATCAGTTTGAAAAAAAAATGGGATTTTTATTTTGTGGGGCCCTAGCTCAATATTACAACATGCATTGCTTGCTTTGGCTTCTTTCGAGGCGAGTTACTCGGTGGTACTCTGTTTTGCATAAGCTGCCACTTCAAGTGGCGGTTCTTTTAACTGGGGTTAAGGGGGCAGTATTTTGGGAAATACTTTTAATCAAACCATAATCTGGGAAATATGTTTTTGTTTAACATTATTTTTGGAAAAAACTCAAATAATTGAATATATGTGACAACTACAGTACCCATTTTAAAGAGAATCAGTTTTCCATCATGCATATATGTTAATTACTGATGTTACTAATTAAGGAGAAGAAAAAAAAATTGAAGTTTAAGAGGGGTAGGGTAGGGACGGACCTCTCTTGACCAGCAGTGTGCCAAATTTGAGCCTTGATAACCTTATTGTCGCAGACCCGTAAGCGAACTCCACACGAATGGTTGGTTTGGAATCCAAGTGGAAGGTATCTTTAGCGAACCTGGAGAGGAGATTCGATTTCCCCACACCGAGTCTCCAATCACGAGTTCGTATATGGTACCACCCGCTGTACGATGAGCACTGTACAGCTGGCCCAGTAACAGGCCTAAGGGAAAAATAGGGAAAAAATTTGGTGGCAGTTTTGTAATTAATGTAAAAATCGTGGTTTCTGCCAAATGAGTATCGGTGTACAGTTAATGAGCAATAGTCCAATTTTAATGAGTATTAAGCGTACAATCATGAGCACCATGTTAGTACAAGAAAATTGATATCACAACTAAAAAACGGTGGCATTTTCGTAATTTTAGTGAAAATCGCGTTTTTCATTAGATGAACATTAATACATTTTCAATGAGCATCAGACGTATTGTATTGAGCATTAAAAGGCGAATAATGAGTGTTGTGATATCAACTTCATACATTGTAATTAACTTTTTTTCCTTACTTTTTCTTTTATAAAAACTAATTAAATTATATCTATAATCAATTCTTATGAATTTTAATATGCGAATCTAATGTAATATGATACTTTTAAAACGTACATTGTTATGACATTTTAAAAATGAGCACACCAGTACCAAATGAGCATACGTAACATACAAATGAGCATTGATATGAATATGACATTTTAAAATGCGTATTACATTAATACCAAATGAGCATACATAAATCATGAAATGAGCAACGAAAATTCAAGTTTTTCATTTATAATCTCTAGTATGCTCAATTTTTTTATGTACATCATTTTATTCTCTAGTATGCTCAAGTTTTCATTTGTGTATGCTCATTTGAATTTCCCAACGAAAAATTCAAAAAACTCATTTAGAATCTTTAGTATGCTCAATTTTTCATTTCTGTACATCATTTGAATTCTCTAGTATGCTCAAGTTTGCATTTGTGTATGCTCGTTTGAATTTCCCAACGTGCTCAAAATTATCATTTATGTAAGTTCATTTCTTTTATTCATTTTGCACATTTATTATAAACACTTTACTCATTACCAATATAACACAAAATTCATGTTAGTAATTAACAAACTCAAAATATTAATACACAATATTAAAATACAATTTAAAAATACATTGAAAAAGGTGATAGTGGGATTTGACTATTTGAGAACTTTATATGCCCACTTTCTCTCCAAGGTACGAAGGATTAAAATCGGCTTCTCCATCATCGACCTCAGCAATTCTCCTGGCCAAGACCTCAGCGATTCTCCCGGCCAAGACCTTAGCGAGCACCTCCTTCGTCGATTAACGAGCAACGAGCAACACCTCCATCGTCTCCACCGAACAATCCGCAGATCCCTTCTAGCCCAACGGTTCAAGCACAACATGGAAGAAGCTTTATCACTAGATCACTATTTAATTGCAAAAAAACCCGCCTGTACCGTGCCCTAGGTACAGCCGGTTGTACGATAGTATTTGCGTCCAATCACCACTGTTTTGAATAGTCACACTCCTCTAGGGCAGAGCACGGGTCGAGTTCGGGCGGGTCGGGTTCAAAAATGGTAAACCCGTTCGGGTATCGTATTGATAATTTCAAACCCTACCCTGTCAAAAAATATATCGGGTTTTTCGGGTTGAAGAAGTTCGAGTTTCGGTCGGGTTGATTCGGTTTTCGGGTCCATTCGGATTTTAATTTATTATTGTTAAAATTGTGATAAATAAAATGGTAATTGGTAAAAATATCATTCAAAGTTATACTAGTATAAAATTCAAAGTAATAGTTGTATAAATATGGTAATCGACATATTTGAACATGTAAAATAATAATACACGGTGATTGACATATTTGATATTGTGATAAATAAAATGATAATTGGTCAAAATATCATTCAAAGTCATAACAATACAACATTCAAAGTTATAGTTTTACAAATACAGTAATTAGAATATTTGAATATGCATAATATGGTAATTGACATACAATAATTGAGATATTTGAACATGCATAATAATTCAATGTAGTATACTCCCTCCGTTCTTTAATATAAGTCCTCTTAGGCTTTGGCACGCGTTTTAAGAGGAAAATAGTAGGGGTAGTGTAAAAGGTGTAATGAGTAGTGGGTAAATGAAAAAGTAGGAAAGAGAAATGGGTAATGGTAATAAAAGTGGGGGTATAAAGGTATATTTAAAGTAAAAACTTTCCTTAAATGGAAAGGAGGACAAATAAAAAAAAACGTCCCAAAAAGGAAAGAAGGACTTTTATTAAAGAATAGAGGGAGTATATACTACGCTTGTTCGGGTTTTCGGGCGGGTCGGGTAGCATAATCGGTAACCCTACCCGCTACCCGCTTAACTCTCGGGTTGCAAAAATCGGGTCGGATTTGGATGATTCGGGTCGGGTTATCTGATCCAAAAATAATAATCAGATATATCCGGTCGGGTCAATCAGGTAGGGTCGGGTTTGCTCTCCCCTACACTCCTCATCCGCCCGCACCAAAAATAAGAATATTTGTGGGCCCACTTTTTTACGCAGTTCGTTAGCAGTATTTTAAGGCTGTGGCTGGCTGCCGACTCGCAATTCCAAGTCCCCGCGCCGCTTCTTCTTCTTCTTCTTCCAGAAGGTCAACCTGCTTTTCTGGCTTGCTGCTACATCTGCGTTACTGCTTCTTCATCTGTGCGTATGGAGAACGCACATGAAACGAAGAACTTTTCTTTCCCCTCAGAGGAAGAAAACGTCCTGCGCTTTTGGAGGGATATTGACGCCTTTCATACCCAACTTGAGCGCACAAAGGGCTGCCCGGAGTTCGTATTTTACGATGGCCCTCCTTTTGCGACCGGCATGCCCCATTACGGACACATCCTGGCGGGCACCATCAAGGACATTGTCACCCGCTACAAGTCCATGACGGGTCACCACGTCACTCGCCGTTTCGGTTGGGACTGCCATGGTGTCCCAGTCGAAGCTGAAATCATGAAAAAGTTTGGAATCACTGGTAGACGCCATGTTCTTGAAATGGGTATTAAAAAATTCAATGTGGGAGCAATTGGTCACCAGGACAGGAAGGTGGATCGACTTTCAGCAAGGGTATAAAACTATGGACTTCAATTTCATGGAAACTGTTTGGTGGGTTTTTGAAAAGCTTCACTCCAAGGGACTTGTGTATAGGGCGTTCAAGGTGAGCAGAGTCGTTTTTCTTCTACTAATTTAGTTGATATGTTGCACGGAAACATAAAAATCAAATCTTGGGAAACGGGAAACATGAAACTCCAACTTTTAGTAAAAAAATACTACTACTTAGTGAGTTTCTAAAATGGAAAGGTACTCTTTCCCGAGAGTTTCCGTGCTACATGGAATGTATCTATATGTATATGTGTGTTTCTAAATGTCTGTATGGTTGTTCCTTTCACTACCTTACAAACATATAAGCAATTGGTCCATTCACAGCTGCATTGTTATTTGTTTTATGCACATGAGCACATCTGCAGGTTATGCCCTGCACAACAGCTTTCGAGACCCCTCTGTCAAACTTTGAAGCTGATTTAAATAAAAGACCTGTCACTGACCCTTCTATAATGGTGTCCTTCCCAATTGTTAATGATCCCCAGAATGCAGCTTTTGTAGCCTGGACAACCACGCCTTGGACTCTTCCATCTAATCTCGCTCTCTGTGTTAATCCCAGCTTAGAATATGTCAAGGTTATAGTTGTTACTGCTGATGATCATCTCTACTGCCTTTCTTGTGATTATAATTATCATTGTGGTTGTTGTTCGTGGATTTCATTTTTAATGTTCCATTTTTAGTAATGTGTTCAACGCACGTCTTTTTACTTGGTTATTAACATGAACCCTAAATTTATTTAAATTGTAAAACACGCATGATAGATTAGTTGTACACTTCTTTTACATGTTTTTAAAAAAAATTAATTTTCTAAGATTCGTAGTTCACGTTTGTTAATTTTGCGTGGTTTTAAATATGAGCTCCCCGCTCCCTGCTTTTATTTATTTATGATTTATTTATTTATTTTGTCATTTACCTTCCCTAATAATACTTTTCAAGCAGCATTTTCCAAATTTTATTTTCTTTAGTGTTTCTTGAACTAGTCACCCTATTTACCTTGTTTTAAAAGTACTATAAAGTATAAACAAATCTTTCACAATTTAATATACTAATTATTTACTCATCTTATGTTAAATAGTGTTATTAGACGCAGACAGTATAATACAATGTGACGGATAATAAACTATAAACCTTATCCCTTTAAAAATAGGACTCTTTGTCTCGTCCTTTAGTTACAACAAATTTCCTAGTTGTTCACCTTTTGTGCTATGTTTTTCTACTTGCATGTTTTTGGCCGGGTGTGGCATTTCATGGAAAAAGTACTAATTGTTAATAGGAGGACAAGTGTGAAATTGTATACAATATTTTTACGGTCATAGTGTGAAATAAACCCACCAACAGAATTTAATTAATATTAGCTTTACAGTTTTATTATGGCTTGATAAAAATATTAAATACACAAATCTTTGGAACTAAATATTGTAAAACGTCAAATCTGCATTATTTCGCCCATGCATTGCAACTTAAAAGATTCAATAAGCACAGTGCCTCAGTTTTATAGCTTTAATTAAAATTGATGTCTTAAGTATTTATAAACCATTGCAGCTGATTTAGGTAATAATGTAACATCATCCTTATTTCACACATATGTTATAAGTTTAGACTTTAGAGTTGCATTATGCAAATATTTGACTCTTTTTACTCATCAAAGTTGATAGGTGGTAATTAATTCTCTGTATTTCTTCGTGACAGGTTCGCAACAAATATTCAGGAAGTATCTATGTGGTTGCTCATTGTAGTTTGTCAGAACTTCCGCCTGAGACACCGAATTGCAAAGACTACCCCATAGTTGATCTGACGGATTGTTATGAAGTCTTGGATAGATTCCTGGGAAGTTCCCTTGTCAATATCAAGTAAATTCTTCCTGCACTTTTTTTGTCTGTTAAACATTTAGTTCATGTGGTTGACTGTTATGTTATGTGTTGCTTGGTTTGACCTTCTACTACCTGATCTTGGGCTCAGTGTATCCTGTTTTTCGTGGCAGTACATTACCTACCTTTGATTCATTCTCTTATGTATTTGTATTTTGTACAATCTTTTGATTGGTAGTAGTATCTAGGTTGTTTGCTTGAGTGGTTTCAATTTCGTTTGATCGAGGATTGATGAAATGTGCATGCAGGTACGAGCCGTTATTTGATTACTTCATGGAGTTCTCTCACGTTGCTTTCAGAGTTGTCTGCGATGATTCTGTATCCGGTCAATGTGGCACTGGGGTTGTCCATTATGCTCCTCAATTTGGCGAGGATGATTTTCGTGTTTGTTTGGAGAATGGAATCATCAACAAGGTTTTCCCCGTGTTCGCTACTTTCAAAAAGTTGCTTGGGGGTTGCTTGACATGTCATATGCAATTTCATTTGTTATTTATCTACCCTTATACAGTTCTTTCTTTGTCTCCTTTTATGCATTTTCCCTGCATCTAATCTAAATGCTTAATCTCCATGTTTTTTTCTGTGCAGAAAGATTTGATTGTACCAGTAAATGAAGCTGGCTTATTCACTGAGAAAATTTCTGATTATTGTGGTCGCTATTTCAAGGATGCAGATAAGGATATTATTGGAAGAGTAAAGGTTAATCATAATAATTCTGACATGTATTGTACTTATAATACATCAACTTCAAACATTATTTCACCATTTTAAAGATACTTCTCTCTCTAATATCTCTATGCGGTGCTCTGAATCAATTTGAGTTAACTTTCAATGGACTGTCTTCACTAATTTACTTTTTGTGCCTTTTTTCTTCTCTGTGTCTTCTTGCTTTTTTCAGGCAAAAGGCAGGCTTGTCAAGTCTGGCACTGTGAATCATGTGAAAGCTTTTTGCTGGAGATCTAATACTCCTCTGATAAACAGAGCTGTTTTGTGCTGGTATGTTGATTTTACATATCCTCTATAGCCAATGTCGTTGTTCATCATATGTTAATTTAGACATGCTTGCAAATGCTCAATTCCGCATATTTAGATTATGGCTCATTATTTCACTAAAAACATCTAAGCATAGTTAAGTAAATGTTCTCAGGAATAAAAAAACATGAAACTCTTTTGCTAATGTATCTGACATTCGGTAATTATACACTATTTTCTCTGGCTTAAAGCAATCTACCTATTCAGGGTGCCTAGTATCCCATCAAGCGAGCACCAAAACTGATTTTACTTGCTGTTTTATGTACTAAACAATATTTTCTCCCATTGCATGCCGATTGAAATGTTCGCAAGTGTTTCCTTAAATTCCAGTGCATTTGAATAAATAATGGCTCGTTTTTTTAAATTTAATATTTACTGTTTCTTTTTCAATTCACAGTTATTTTCCTTGTGTTGTCCTTGGTTATGGTGGTGCATGCTTGCATTCTGAAGTATGATGTGTTATATGTCCAGGTTTGTTTGTGTGGAAAAGTTGAAAGATCAGTTATTGGAAGTTAACAGACAGACTTACTGGGTACCTGATTTTGTGAAGGTCAGAGATCACTTCTCCTTGAATCAATCGATTTTTTTTTCTTTTCCTACTTTGGTGTTGCTATTCTGTCAACCTCATCTTTGGATGTTAGAGATCTTCAGAAATCCAGAACAGTTTAACAGGAAGATATCAAGAACAAACTAAAAAATAGCTTTATTGATGAAGACAGTAACAAGAAACGATGGCCGAAGCCCCCAAAAGCCGAAGCTCCCAAAGAAAGAGATAATTAGTCTCAGTCCTCCCAAGTCCCAAAGACAAATGTCTAAACAGCCTTCCCGACTTCTCCCCAGTTTAGTCTATTTATACTAACTATTACACTTATTATTATTCTTGGTTTATTTGACCCAATTCCTAACAGTCCATTAGGCCCAATCTAATAACTACTAGTCTATTTAATAGTCAATAGGTGGGTCCCTATCGCTATGATCTTCAGCTTCCTCTTCTTCCTTGCGCCTCTTCCTTCCCAGTACTTGACTGGTTGATGGATTAGTGAATTCAGTACAAGATTTATTATTATCACAGAACTTCCCACAGCAGAAGAATTTTGTAATGCAGTTTCCTTCTGTTCAGTCACCTTCCCGCAATCCATATCAAAAAATATTTCTTCACCTTTCTGCGGCCCCTCATGCTTCCCATGTTCTGAAACTAATACTGTACTAAATGGAAACTCCTTTATGCAGCTTTCAACCTCTCTCCCTTTTACATCCTTGCCTACCTTATTTGAGAAAGAAAATTTTAAAGGTTTTGGCAGGTAAGTAAGGATAAGGATACCCCTGATTCCAGTTGCATTTCTCCTAACCAAGGAACATGAATGATTATTTCCCAAGTAAGACTTCCAAAATTGGCGTCCTAGCAGGTAAGCAGATTCTTCCCCAGAAGAAAACACTGCTATTTTCAAGCCTTGTTTCACTTTCACCTGTTCCTTAGTTTCAATATCTTGTTCCACATAACTTCCTGCCGTTTTCTCATTGATATAACTTGTAGTTCTGAGCCACTCCTGTCACATAATCCACCCCTAAGTTGTCAGACGAGTCACAACTAATTGGACCCTTCCCACTCAGATGTACAATAGCAGAAGAAACAACTGGAGCATATTCTTGATGATCCTTCGAATTATACGGAGCTGAAAGTCCCTCTTCAACCTGGGTTTTGAAGATTGTTTTAAACATACTAGAAGAGTGCATCTCACAAGTCAATTCTTGATTGTACACTGCTGTTTCAGCCTCTTTATCATCCATAACCAGTCTTCCTCCACTCATAACATTCATCCCAATTGGTGAAATTCCAGGCGAAATCAATGCCCCAATTTGAAAATTAGCATATGATTTCCCAGAAAGATGATAAACACGATCCTCAAGAAGAACTGGACCATATCTCTTTTGTTCCAGGGAATTTAAATCCACATTGTTTGCAAAATTAGGAGAAACATAACCTGGCCATTGAGTAATCTGGCTTTTTCCTCGAATTCTTCCTTCTTATTCATTTTCTTGATTACAGATTCCATTGGTTCCCTTTCGGTCTTATTTATTGACTGGGAAAATTCTTTCCCAAGTAGAGAAACATCTGGCGACAAAACTAGCAAACCAGAAGCTTCTTCTTTCGATCGCGGTTCTTCATTATGCAAGTTGATCGCTGATGGAAATTCCTGCGCGCCTAGTGAAGATGTCTTTGATATGAGCGAAATCCTTCGAGATTGGAAACTATGAGTAACCGTTCGCAAATGCGAACTAGAAGAAACAGTGAGCGGCTTCGTTTGCGAACTTGTGAGCGTTGGCGACGAATTTACCTTGTCAGATAGCGAAGAGCGATGAGAAGAGCGATGCGACGAACCTTGTTTGTCAGGTAATGGAAGAGACCTAGTCTTCCTCGATCGTTCTTCAGTTCTTCTGCGACGCCTCTGTTCTTCCAACTCCTCTGAACTTGCTGAATGTTGCGACCGATGTTGCGATCTATGCGAAGAGTGCGGATGATCGATCGAATGATGCGATCGACTCTTCGAACGACCTGGAAGTCTGTTTTTAAGATCATCGATGCCAGCCTGCACTGCTGTCATCATCGCTAGCAATTCATCATACTTCGTATCTATATTATTAAAACTCTCTTCCATTTTCGGAGTCAAAAATTCCTCCATGAATCAGATTCTTGGTCTCCAGGAAATAACAGTCTCTGATACCAATGTTAGAGATCTTCAGAAATCCAGAACAGTTTAGAACAGTTTAACAGGAAGATATCAAGAACAAACTAAAAAAGAGCTTTATTGATGAAGACAGTAACAAGAAACGATGGCCGAAGCCCCCAAAAGCCGAAGCTCCCAAAGAAAGAGATAATTAGTCTCAGTCCTCCCAAGTCCCAAAGACAAATGTCTAAACAGCCTTCCCGACTTCTCCCCAGTTTAGTCTATTTATACTAACTATTACACTTATTATTATTCTTGGTTTATTTGGCCCAATTCCTAACAGTCCATTAGGCCCAATCTAATAGCTACTAGTCCATTTAATAGTCAATAGGTGGGTCCCTATCATTGGATCACAGTGCACATCATTAGCTGTTTAAGCTTTCAATGTCTTAGGGATGTACAATTGTTAAAATGTAAAATGTTTTAGTATTGCAGTAACTATGTGATGTTGTTTATTTTCAAATTTCAGTTTCTTTTTTATCTCTTACGAACTGTTAATGTGATATGGACGGAAGAAGCCTAATAAAACTTTTGTTTAATAGAATTTTACTTTTATTTTATGAATTTGAACAAAATCATAATCTTTCACGAGGTTTAATATATCATTAGAATTGCTGTTTTGACTCTTGAAATGGTGGTAGGGGTGGAAGTGTATCATGAACTAATTTCAAGGGATTGTATGTGAAAAGACCATATTCTTTGCTTTTTGACGGTGTTTTGACATGCATTTATTATTAACTTCACGAAAAGTGATGAATAAATGTAAATATATGTATATGTGTGTGTGTCTATATATATGCACCTTCATGGATTTATCTCTTCGAATTTTTATGTGCTTTTTTTTATTAACATGTCTCAAACAATTGCACTTATGCCTTACGCCTTGTTGCATTATAGGATAAACGTTTCCATAATTGGCTTGAGAATGCACGAGATTGGGCTATAAGCCGCAGTAGATTTTGGGGTACTCCTATTCCCGTATGGATTAGTGAGGACGGTGAAGAAATATTGGTCATTGATTCAGTTGATAAGCTTGAAAGGTTTTCTGGCGTCAAGGTGTGATGTGTATATTTTTGTAGCTTTGTCTTACCCTTTAGCTGTTTCTCAACAGAGTGTTTTTCCGTATCACATCATGCAAGTTGGCTTTGGGTAATAAGGCTATTACTTTTACATCTTCTTCATATTTTGCATATATTGGCTTATAAATGTATTGATGATCGCACATTTAGGCAGTCAAATGATTTTGTTTTTTTCTCCTTGTAAAAATATTTGCGAACTCTTAAGTATATGTATCCCTATAACATATGGTTTATGTTGCTTTACAATCGATGTTGATATCACTTTGTTGGTAACGTGTTTGATGGGTAATTCACTGCAGGTAGTTGATCTCCACAGAGAAAATGTAGATAATATCACGATCCCTTCTTGCCGTGGTTCTGAGTTTGGTGTTCTTCGACGAGTAGATGATGTATGACTGTCTTGCATTACTGTTTTATGTTATTTCATTATACAAAGTTTTGATTGGGATTTGGTGGCATTTCTCAGGTTCTACTTTAAGCCAAACTGTTTATATTTGCAGTTCTTAGTGAGCATTAATGTGATAATGTGTATTAGTCTTTATTTTGTAGTTATTTTTCTCATTCCATCAGCATGCTACTAGCATGCTAAGGCTTGATGTAGTTATTGGTATTACTATCATTATTATTATTACTAGTTGGGTAATAGTGATAATTATTATTGGTATTGCCTAATTCTGTTAGCTATTTTATCTTTGTCCAGGATTTCATGGTTATAGTTGATTTAGAACCTTTACCCGCTCATTATATAGTGGGATATCAGCCACAATGAACACAATTAAGTTGTTCGACTTTAGTGCCCGTTGGTAACACTGAAATTGTTTGAATCGCTAAATGTGCTGAATTATTGAAATTCAGGCTAGAGTAGGTGAATCTTCCCAATTATTGGAAAAAAATAACATATATTTTATTAATAAAATAAAGAAGAATTTGTATGAAAAAATAGCTAAAGTAGTCTTCTACGGTAACTCCAACCTTGCTTATTTTGATTACCACACAATTCACCCTGAAATCAAAAGTTACGTGTTTAGTAAAATAGTTGGCCAATGGGGCTGATGAGTTGAAAAAACGGGTTACTAAACAGGCTCTAGATAATTATGAGTCTCTCTCAAGGACTAACTTTTCCTCGTGGATTCTTTCGTGGATGAGCCTGTCATACAGACACACACATACCTGGCCCAGGAACTCATGCGCAGCTACAACTTCAAAATTTCTGTATATTGAGGGATAGATTGGGCAATGGATTTGGAAGTTAAAGTGTGTCTCATGATATATATTTGAGAATTCATAACAGAAATAACATGATGTGTAAACAACACTCCATACAATCTTTCGTATTTCAAGCACCATTCATTCTTGAAACATTCTATTTTTAAATATACTTATTAAAGCTCTCAAAGACCTTCTCCAAACTTACCCTAAGCGTAAAGGGCAAGCACCCTAGCCCCTAGGATTTAATTGCCACACTTTAGCTACTATACCTATTTCACTGTACTTTTGACATGGGCAATTGAATGATGCCTAAACATGTCTGTCATATTCCAGGTATTTGATTGCTGATTTGAGAGTGGTTCCATGCCGTATGCTTACATCCATTATCCATTCGAGAATACTGAGCTGTTCGAGAACAATTTTCCTGGCCATTTTGTGGCTGAAGGGATTGATCAAACCCGTGGATGGTTTGTTTTTAATTTGCGAGCTTTATGTGGTGATATTTGATTGGTTTACCTACTATTTGTGACAGTTTGTCCTACATTTTTTTATGTTTCAAGAACATACTTTTTGTCCATGATTTCTATTTTGTTCTCCATATTAAAGTATTAAACATTTAACCATTGACACATCGATCGACTTATACAATGGTAATTTTTTATATTATGTGGCAGGTTTTATGCTCTTACTGTACTGGCAACTGCGTTGTTTGGAAAGCCAGCATTCAGGAATCTAATCTGCAATGGGTTTGTTCTTGCTGAAGACGGAAAGAAGATGAGTAAACAGTTGAATAACTATCCTTCACCAATGGATGTCATCAATGACTATGGGGCCGTATGTTCTTTTATATGCATCCTGCATATTTCAAATGTGTATATACGCACATACGCGTGCGGGCACGTGCGCGCGCGTGTGTGTGTGTGTGTAACTGTGTGTATAACTTACTCCACACTACACACAAAATAAGCTCTGATGACTGCACCGTACAAGCTAGGCCACTGTGTGAACACCTAATCATCAGGAAATTAACCAAGTAATTGACTTGGAAATTTAATCATTGACACCACTTAAAATGGTCTAATACTGAGAAGTACGTCTTTTTATTATCTCAAAATGCCACATTCTCTAACAGAGCTGTGGTGACCATCTTTGACTCTACAGGATGCTCTGCGGTTGTATCTTATAAACTCACCTGTTGTCCGTGCAGAAGACTTATATTTTAAAAAGGAAGGCGTGAATGGTGTTGTGAGTTTTTATTCTGTTTATGGGCTATATAGACTGCACATATTTCATATCACTGTTATACTTGTGCTTATATGGGCATATGATAGAGCTGTAAACTTTTATTTCGTATCTCCAGGTTAAGGATGTATTTCTTCCGTGGTACAATGTGTATAGGTTCCTAGTTCAAAACTGCAATAGACTTGATGCTGAGGGCTCTCCATTTATCCCTTCTGATCTAGCCTCTGTCCAAGTGTCACCTAATGTGCTCGATCAGTGGATCAGCTCAGCAACTCACACTCTCGTGTCTTTTGTACGTAAAGAAATGGATGGTTATAGACTTTACACGGTTAGTATTGCTATTATTAGAAACAATTGGTTAGAAGATTTATGCAAAGTGATTATCTTGGAGAATTTTGTGCCATGTTCTATTAAATCTTTACCACATTTCATTTGATTGATCTCCATGCAAAGTCAAATAGAAAAGATAAAATGGGTACCATTAGGGTTTTTCTTAAATTTGTTTATAAACATTATTAATATTGTGTTTTGCAATTGTTCAATTTGGTGACCTAAACATATTTGTGCATCTTGGCATGAGGAGTTGTTGACAGTTTTTATAAATGAATAATTACTTGGTGACAAATGTATTTGTAATTCAATTAAGTTTTGCACTCCATTTTCCAGGTTGTTCCTTATTTATTGAAGTTTCTTGACTACCTGACAAACGTATATGTGCGGTTTAACCGCAAGAGACTGAAAGGTCTTACGGGAGAGGAAGATTGTCAAACAGCTCTCTCAACCCTTTACAATGTGCGTAATAATAATATAGTTTCTTTTTTTTGCCTTTGTGATTGAAAACAATTTTGCTTGGTTAAAAATCACCTTCTTTGTCTTCTTTGTGATTGAAAATCACCTTCTGCTTGGTTAAATACCTGTTAATGACAGGCTATTATGATTTTTTCACAGATTTTATTCTAGTCCATTCTTATAAGTACTCATCCCCCCAGCCTGGTCCCATTGACTATTCAAATATGAAAGACTTTTGAAAAACATATTCAGACTTTTAGTGTCAATGTTGACATACTTCTGTTTAGTCAATGTTGCACATAAATAATGGAAATCTTGGGTATGAAGCCAATATCCCCACCCATGCTATTATCTAGATTCTAGATTATGTTTTCGATATAGTTCTGTAATACGAGATTTGTTTTCTGTTAAACTAAAATGCATAGATTCATTTTATATGATGAATAAATGTATCCTTTATTAACTCCCTGGGAGAAGTAACGATGTGTTAAAAGTCTCCTTAAACGTATCTTTCTAAACTCTTTCTTCTTTGGCTGGTATGAGGAAATAAATAATAGTCTCTGGATGATATGTGCTTTGAATTGTCTGCCATTGATGGTGTATTTCGTGATTATGTCTTGTGCATTTCAGGTGCTCCTGGTTACATGTAAAGTTATGGCTCCTTTCACACCGTTCTTCACAGAAGTTCTGTACCAAAATATGAGAAGAGTTTGCAACGGATCAGAAGAAAGCATTCACTATTGCAGTTTTCCTGAAGCCGAAGGAAAGGTGTTGGTCAAAACACATATGAGCTACATTAGAATTCTTTGACAGTTCTGCAATTGCATTGTTTTTTGTTCATAAACATTGATACACGCCCTTCCACTTCTTATTATACCGCTAAGCTTTTAAATTTGTCTTGATCAATATTCTTATAAAAATTGCATGTGGCATGAACTACCTTGTATGTGACTCAAGATTTTTCTCTAAATGTTTGTTTGGAAAATTTTATTATGTATCTTTTTTTGTAGACGGAAAACAAAATCGAACGGAGTGTGCAAAGGATGATTACTGTTATTGATCTTGCACGCAATATTCGCGACCGTCAGAAGAAGCCCATTAAGGATCCTCTTAGGTAAGATTGTTACGTTTAACGTGCATAGGCTTATTGTTACCCACTTCTGATTATTCTGCTAAGTTCTAAAACACTGCTTAACTACAGGGAGATGATTGTGGTGCACCCAGATGCTGATTTTCTTAATGACATTGCCACAAAGCTAAAACAGGTGAGCTAACTTTTTTAAATTGTCGATTACATCAAAACACCCGATTTTGGAGAGCACTTCAGACCAACTATTTATACTCCGTGTATGTTTTCTTTCTAAGCACTCCCTCCATTTCTATGTGTTTCATTTTGGAAGGGTATCATAGTCTTGTGTTTTTTTAAACCAGATTTGCTAGACCACCTATAACTTTCTTTTGTTTTATGATTATGTATATGTATGTATTTTGATTTCCACTCATTTAATGCCTTTGGGCATCTTTCTGTTGAATTAAAGTATGTGTTGGACGAGCTCAATGTGAAAACTATTGTCCCATGCAATGATGTTCTGAAATATGCTGATTTACGTGCTGAGCCGAACTACAGGTGAGTTAGTGTACCCATGTTATGGTTCTCAAATGCTTCACTGCTTTACTTTTATTGGCGGTAATTTTGAACTCCATGGATCTAAGGCTGTCGGCCATTTACTTTTAGTGTGTTAGGCAGGCGCCTTGGAAGAGATATGGGTGCGGTTGCCAAGGGAGTGAAAGCAATGTCACAGTCAGATATTTTAGCTTTCGAAGAAGCTGGAGAAGCAGTTGTTGCTATGCATTCTTTGAAGATGACAGATATCAAGGTATTTTGCTGTCTTTAGGCATGATTTGGGTGTGGTTCTGCACTATTGTTTCTATGCCGTTCAGGTCGATGATGTAGGGCCGTAGGGGAAGAATTGAGCAGCATATTTTGTACAGTAGAGGGGGACAAGTTCTTCGCACCGTGTCATTGAATATAATTTCTCATCCAAATGTTGTTATGGAGAACAATTGGCTATCTAACTTTTACCAGCCCTTGCTATGCGCTCCTAATCATGACCTACCAATTGAATATAATTTCTCATCCAAATGTTGTTATGGAGAACAATTGGCTCTCTAACTTTTACCAGCCCTTGCTATGCGCTCCTAATCATGACCTACCAATCAATAGCTATTTTGAAATTTTAGTGAGAGTACAATGGGCTTAATTAGTTAGTTGAGTGATCAAATCAAAGCCACTTTGAAATTACAATGGCTAAATTGAGTACTAAAAATAGATAGGTAGCCATATTAAAATGATTTATTTTCCATTTCGAGTGCAAGTGTTGGGGGCCTTGCACACACCACACTAGGCAAATGTGATAAAATGGTACAAACTTTAAGGGATGGAGGGAGTAAATTATTGTTAAACAAATTACCCTCAATGTGTTAAAGGTAACCGATTGTCTGGTGTGCTTCAGTGCATGTCACATGGCATGCTTTGCTGAAGTTGTAATTTGAATGGAATATATGCACATCGTTGATATTTCTTTCTTATGCTTTGTTTCTGATCAAAATCCAGGTTTTCCGTGATTTCAAACGTCCACTAGGTATGGATGCGTGCGACATTGATGCAGCCGGAGATGGTAAGGATTAATGATGACTTCTCATTTTTGTTGCTTTGACCACTATGCAACTGAAATCAGTGACAGTTAATTACTTATTATGTATTTTGTAATATGCAGGAGATGTTTTAGTGATCTTGGATCTACGTTCTGATGATTCTCTGCGTGAATCTTGTGTTGCACGTGAGGTGATATGACTCGCAATCTCTTTAAATGACAGTTCTTTTAATCTTTTACTGTGGGTTGAGCTTACGATATAGATATTGAGACTTACACCCTTCCTGTAAGATAAAAAGCTTATGCCTCTTATAGTGAGGCGTACGCCATGACCTCTGGGCATTTTAGGTGGGAAATTTTTTCTCAGGATTTTGGATTTAGGATTTAAGATTTGGTTCAGCTTCAGGATTTTGAAATTGCATATTGTGCATGTGTGATTGTTTATTATGTTTAACCGTGGGTTTCATATGCGCCTTGTGTTCAAGCTTTCATTTTGATTTATGGCGTGATGATATCTTGGCGTCATGTGTTTGTATTTCAGGCTTTCTGGACTTAGTAGTTTAACTATAATTTGTTTTACTTCGTATTTATTACTCCGTAGTTTATTTTGAGGCTAAGGCTTACGCCTCACCTCTCAGAAACAAACTGCCTCAATACCTATACCAGCCTTTTAAAGCCTTTTGACCACGCCTGACTTGATTTGTTTTTATATGCCATAACTGAAATTCCGTTAAAACCCCCACGCTTTACTATCTGTTTGGCGCGGTCCTTGCTAAATTCAATCTACCTGTTTCTGTAGTAAATCTATGCACACATAAACTGCATTTTGAGACTAAGAGTTATGCAAGTTTTGATACTTTGTATGCCTAAAATCATTTTGTGACATGAGAGGATTGCACATGTAGATCGTTAGCGGAGTGCAGAAGCTACGGAAGAGAGCTAGCCTTGAACCAAAAGATGCAGTTAATGTTTATTTGGAGTCGCCAGATAAAGCAGTCATTCAGCAAGTGTTGAAATCACAGGCAAGTCATTTATGTCATTGCCTTCAAAGTAATTACATTCCAAAAGTTTGGATTCTCTTAAGTGAAGGTTGGATTAAAAAAAAATCTGGAAAAGGAATATATTCCCACTTTCCATGTAGTCTATATATGATGGATAGCTTCATTTTTCTTTTGACAGGAAAAATACATTGGGGATGCACTTGGATCTCGAGTGATCTTTTTGATGGCTGCAATAGATGATGAAGTAAGTATTTGATTTTATGTACTCCACAAAATGTTTGTTTGTCTTTTCTTTTATTTTCTTTTGATCATGACTAAATTTGACTGAGGTAGACTAAAATATCGGACTCTCTAAAACTCTAATAACATGTGGGAACTTATTCCCGAGTCCATAGCACTTAATCTTTCACTTCAAATATTATTACCTCTGTGTCAAATTGTTTTGCAAAGCCAACATTTTTTTGGTCAACCAATGTTGAAGTTAAATCCTCTCCATTGATATTTAATTTACTTTTAATAATTTTTTTTTGAAAATAATTTACTTTTAATAATTAAAAAGTACATATTCAGAAACTAGTTTAAAATCTCTACATTTAAATATTGGACTCTCTGAAGCTCTAATAACTCTATGAAAACTTCTTGATTACATAGCAATTAGCACTTAGTCTTTCACTTTAGATATTAATTCCTTTTTTGGGTAGAAAAATATTAATTCCTTTAGTGGTAACATTATATAAAAACATTGCTAAAATCTCAAAATAAATTAATTGGACATAGTCTTGAGTTCTTGACTATGCCAGATAATTAACCTAACTTAATAGAATAAATTAAAACAGCTCATCAAATAATCCAGTCGACAATCATGTACAGATAATAAGTGAACTAACCATCTTTACCATATAATTAGAGTTTGATGGTACTAAAACTTTATATCCAAACACATGACCCGCCAGTCCGCCACTACTAAAGACCACCAAGGGCACACCAGAATCTGGAAAAAAAAATTCTGAACCTCCTAGATGATCAAACCGCTGCTTCTTTTTAACATGAAAACGCTGCTAAAAGCAGCGGCCGCCGGCAAGGTTGTTAGGATCGCGAGGTAACTCGTAAGATCGTACGAGTTTGCGATTTGGAGAGGGGGAATCGAGTCAGATCGCTCCAAAGATCGGAAATTGCACTGGGATCGGCAGATCGTCGAGTAGGATCGTAAAATGTACGACTCGTCGATCTAAAACGAGTTGCGACCACTCGGTTCAAAAACGGGAAAAGAAGGGCGCCGTTGAAGTCTGAAACGACGACTTTGAAAAAAAATGAAATATAGCGTCTTTTTCTTCAGTCCTCATCTCTTCTCTGTTCTCTCTATGTCGTCCGCTTATTGTTAATCTCTCTGTGTCGTCCGCTTATTCTTCATCTTTCTGTGTCGCTAGCTTTACCAAAATATTTCGCTTATACTCCACTTTACTAAAGGAGAAAAGGAGGGGGGGGGGGGGGGGTGGGTTATTAGTGACTCTGACTTCTGAAGTTCTGATAGCATAAGTATGGCAACTGGGTCAATAGCAAACAAAGAAGCTGCAGGGTAGAGAACCGAAGTTGGCTGGGACCCTGGGAGCATGGTATATCCATGAGTGAAGATAACAGAACAATAAAGTTTTGAAAATGTCTTTTTTAATTTAGGAAAAGTTGATACTAATAATCCCAACTATTGGCGGTCCGCTCATAATAATCCCAACTATTTATTATTCCAGAATAATCCCAACTTTAGGGGCCTTCCGCCAATAATGGTTCCTATGAATAAATTCGTGTAGTTTCTAAAGTGGATGAGATGAGATATAACAAGTAATCCCTATAAATAATCTCAACTTTTAATTTTTAGGCTTAATTTCTATTTAAAATTCACTTTTTATAGAGGTAATATCTTGTCATGAACCATTATTGGCGGACAGTCTATATAGTTGGGAATATACAAAAATAATCAATAGTTGGGATTATTTTCAACGGACCGGCAATAGTTAGGATTATTATTTTCAATTTTTCCTTTAATTTATCGTAACTTTGTTATCCTAAGTGTTTTAAACTTTTAATTCAAAAATGACATTGTGTTATTCATATTTCAAAAGTTATAAGTTTAAATACACATATATATATGCATGGTATCTTTGCTTTTAAGATCTTACGATCCGAGTTACGATCCACGAGTTACGATCTCCTCTTCCCCTCCCGATCCGAGCTAGGATCTCGAGTTTAACAACCGCTGCCAGCGGGTTGGTGCCGATCCGCTGAAAACCAAACAGCACCGATACCCCGTACATTAGCGTTTTGGAAACTTAGGTTCCTAGTTTTTTCCCTTTTAAATAGGGTTCCTTGATGGAAAATATGCATTTGAAAAACTTCTTTGTGATAATTATGGAATTTCTTCATGGAAACATTGTGTTTTTTGTCATGACACAATACATTACTACCTTTCGTTTACCTTATAATCCCGTTAATTGATGCAATTTCACCCGAAATACATATAATTTCAGTTGCAGGTCATCTCCGAAGGAAATTTCCGAAGTATTTATAAAGTGACATTCAGAGTGATTCTAACCAAGTGCTAAGCTTTATTGTTTGCTAACAGGAGAGATGTAAAGTTAACTTTATTTTTGCAATCACTAATCTATTGATTTAGGATAGGTTGTTCAACATAGGATCGTGTTAAATTAAATCATTTAGTGATTCACCACGTCTACAATTTGAGTAAAGTAATTAACTTTTTGCAGTTTTATTGTGTTGCGGACTTGCTGTGTTGCCCATTATTTTCAGTTTTGGTCAGCCTTGTTCAAGATCTTTTTGTCCATTAATAATGTTTTGTCCATTAATGTTGAAGGAGAGTTCTATTATTTGATAGAATTAAGTGTGAAAAATTAGATTTATTGTACTTATAAATAAAGTTGGTACTTTTCACTAGGGATGGACCGGGATATGGGCGGGACCGGGTCTGGGAAACTGGAGGCCCGGTACCAGCCCGGTTAGGTTCCGGCCTAGCACCCAAATGATCCAATCCTTCCAAAAAAATAAAAAATAAAAATTGGGCCTGGGCCGGTCCATCAAAAGTGCAGCCGGTAGCCTGCCCCAAACCCCCCGGTCAAGCCCAAGGCTTGGTCCCAGCCAACTGGGTCGGGCCAGTTCAGAACAGTATCGGACTGGGCCGGTCAACGGGTCGGTCAACGGGTCGGTCAATCTGGGCCCGGTTGATCCCTACTTTTCACCCTATCCTAGGGATGGACTCGGGCCGGGCCAACCGGCCCGGAACCGGACCGGCCCGCTACTGTGCGGGCCCGGACCGGCCCGATCAACCGGTTCGGTTCCGGTTCGGGCCTCCAGGCCCGGTGGTATACCGGTCCGGGCCCGGGCCTCTAGTTTAGTGAACCGGCCCGGCCGGGCCGGGCCCGGTTCGGGCCGGAATTTAATTTTTTTTTTTTTGAATTTTTTTTAAGTTTTGGGTTGGATTAGGTATTTTGGGCCATTTGAGGTGGTTTGGGGTGGAGGGGGAGGGGTAGGGGGTTAAATAAGAGAAGAAGAAGAAAAAAAAAAACATTCCGGGTGGCCCGACCCGGCCCGGCCCGGTTCTGGCCCGGAACCGGAACCGGAACCGCCCACCACCGGTTCGGGCTCGGGCCTCCTTTTTCTGAACCGAGGCCCGGCCGGGCCCAGGCCCGAACCGGGCCCGAACCGGAACCGGTCCACCCCTACCCTATCCCCCCTCAGATTTCACCATCACAAGGTTGTTGGGCTTGACCCTATGTTGTCTCATCAGGGGCCACCATCAGGTCTTATTAGCAACTTCCCCCTGGGCCCCACCTGCTCAGGAGACTCATAACCAAGCCTTAGATGACTCGCCCGAAGGCGAGGACCAAATGGACGAGGGCGAGGAGCTTTGAACCTTAGAGCCCTAGATGACTTGCCCGAAGGCGAGGACCAAATGGATGAGGGCGAGGAACTTTGAACCTTCCCCTCGGGCTTGGTCTTCCTCCTCTTCTCCTTGTTGATTTGAGCAGAAAGTTCCAGCATCGAAGGAACAACTGTAAAGCGAAGAACATAAGAGCAAAATACTTGACATAAATTCAAAGTGCAAAAGGTACAAAAATACATAAACAAAAGGATATAGCACGAAGAAAGCAAAGGCATACCATGTAGAGGATAGCCGGATAGGCCTATGGCTGTTCGCCACTGGCAGCTTCACCTCGAGGAGGCTCCTGTACATCCTCGTTGCCGCACCCCCAAATTACACCCCAAAGTTACTAGAATGCTAGATGCTAAGAATACAAGTATAAAGATAGTTTTCCTAAATTATTTTAGTTCAAAAGAGTTTAAATTGCATTGGAAATAAATTACTCAAAGAGTGTTATCAGCACGCTTGGGTTCTTACATAACTGAATGCGCAAGCCAAATCACAATTCGAAAGTGATCATAAGTGCCAAGTCCAAAACTAAAATAAGTAAAATATTGACAAGTTCCGAAATCCGAACTCAATTAAATGTAACTTATAGCTAGTCTAAGTTATCTAACACGGTTATCTTCAAGCACAGTTTTCCGCAAATGCACCAAATAAAGTGTAGAAACAAAACAAAAGAAAATGAACAAAAATTAGTTTTATATCTAAGTAAAACCCACTCAACCCCGTAAAATAGTTTGAAAAAATAGTTTTTGATACATATATATTGGTCGAAAAATTGTTGAAGTAAAGTAATATGTTTTTACAGATAAAAGTAGTATTTAGTATGAGAGATATTTCCACACAAATTCAGATTAAAATATGTATTTTCAAAATCATATTTGATAAACAACCACCAAAGGGATGCCCTAGTTTCAACCTGAAATGGTGGTGGGATACCCTCAAAGGGAACAAAAGGGCAATACTTTCCAGTAACTTTAAAGTACCGGTGATGATGCATCTAATAGATATATAACAAGTATTTCAAACACAAGACCCTCAAATAGGGTGATAGTATAATCTAGGTCTTAACCCCTAGTTACACCGTTTTGAAATATACTCCCTCCGTCCCAGAAACAAGTTCCCGGGTTGACTTTCACACATTTTAAGGAAATAAAGTTACTGAGGGATAAATTTTACTGTTTTGACACTGTTTGGCATTGTTTTGCACTGTTTGACACTGTTTTGCACTGTTTTGATGTAGATAATTTGTCAAATAAGGAAATGGGAAGTTTATTTTGGGACATCCCAAAGTGAGAACTTGTTTCCGGGATGAAAGTAGTACACACTTTATATAAAGTCAAGTAGTCGACCCATGAGCCCATGTACTAGCTCGACTTTAGTACATCACCATACAATCATAGACTTCAAGTATGTCATTAAACCATCATACAGTCCTGCTCTAGTACATTTATACACCATGCTAGAGCCCCGCTCTAGTCATCGCCACACTGTGCTAGAGCTCCGCTTGTAATCACCACTATCCAATTCCTAAGCAAGTCATATGTCTAGAATCAATACAATGAAAGAATCACTTCGGGTCATCTTTGAGGACTGCCCAAACTCATTCTTAGCTTCACACCTTATCAAGTTTATCAACATTTATAAACAATCTTAAGCTAGTATCCTAATACTATCAAGATTGTTCTTATCAAACCATGCGATCATAGTATGTATGTCCCAACATATTTAGAGATATGTGGCAGTAACACCACTTAATCATTTGTAAAATATAAACATCCATTTATATATTCATATAATCAATTCATTAGCTAGAAATGCCTATTTAATAGCTCAATTAACTCTATATTACTTACTAATATAGTCCCAACTCATAGATAACTTTGTTCCTAACCAAATACATCCATGTTTTATCAATATTTAGACATCATAATCCATGAAAAACCATAACTTAAGCATTTAGGTAATCTCATGCTTAACCTACAAATTACAAGAAATTAGATGTCGATACGCACCTCAAATGAGTTCCGAATTACCATCTTTCAATCATATGTCCAAACCTCCGGCAAAGGAATATTGAACACTGATTCCTTGCTTAAAAATGGTGGCTAGACAACCTCCTCCAAGTGATGGTTCGTCCCTTAGCAAAAGATATGAAAACAATTCCATAGAAGGGATGTTTTCCGACGAGTTCACCTCCTAACCTTTCAAGTTTTGTTCTAGGTTAGTATCCAACATTTTGAATGATTAAATCACTATATTAAGACCTTATTCTACATATATAATCGTGTAGAACATCCACCTTAGTCGTCCATATGTTTTATAAACAATTAAGATAATAAGTTAATAACTAAAAACCAAACACAAATTGTTTTGAGAATCTAGAATTTCACCTCGTGTGTCTATCTAATCATTTTGGGATGTAAACTCCTCTCCTCAAGAACTTCACCTCGTCTGAAAGCTCTCTTCAATATTTTTTTTATGGATACCTTAATCAAGTCCATTGGATAAGAGGTGCTCTAGATATGGGGTGAGAAATACCAAAAATTGCAACTACTCGAACTAACATGCAACAGCCCTCTTTGCTCTCCTTCTTAGTTTGTGTGTAGCTCCCTTCTTCTCCAAGCTTTTTGGGAGTTCGAAGGAGCGATTTTGGGTATGCTCGCAGGCCTCTCTCACAGTTGGTTAATTTGAGTGGAGTAAGATGAATGACATGTGGGCTTGATTGGCAAATTATCTTTGAATCATGTATGGAGGAGGGTCTCTTATTTGTCACAAAAGTCATGTCCAGCCCCTCTTTCCATTATGTCCTCTCCTCAACAAGCCTTCCAACTTATTTCTTTGTTTTTCAGGTACCAAGGAGGTATGGGACGTCCCCCATTGGTCCCAATCAATTTGGGAGAAAAATATCTACCAATACATCCAACAATGAAAGAATTGAATCATATTGTTTTATCCTTTTGTCATGTGATGTCTTTTTTGTACTCATTCGAATTTCTTTAGAAGATGTCGAGGTTTTACATCATATTAGTGGTCTCTAATATGTGTAGGATGATCCTAATAAATTATATGTTGTACAATTATAGGAGAAAAACTTTACTTCCTTAATTTAACTCAATAATGTCAAAGATGGAATCATAGGAGTTTGTTTTTGTCTCTAGAAGTTGTCTCACCCCTTTATCTGTATATATCAATTATTATAGTCTTCCTAATATTTATTTGAAGTCTATAATAAGTGTGGGATACCCTCAAGTAGTCCAAGGATATCCTTTTCCGTTAGACTTTCTATTTTTAGCAAGTTGGGCCCAAAATAATAAAAATACCCCAAACTTTGAATGGGTGTGGGGTAAACACCCCAAATTTGCACATGTAATTTAAATACCCTAAACTTAACAAAAAGGGGTATTTTAGCACCATTTTCTTGAATTTTTTCTTTAAAAAATGTAAATTCATGGAGTTAATTGTATAATTTAAAATATAAAATTAAAAGTATTGCAATTATATAGATTGAGAATAACATTATTTATTTTGAAATGGAAGTTTAGAATGTTAATTGTGTCTTTATGAATTTTAAAATATTTTAAATTATGCAATTAACATCATAAGCCTACATTTTTGAATTAATTAATACGAGGAAACAGTGTGACAATAACCTTATATATAAGGTTTGGGCTATTTAAATTACATATGCAGGTTTAGGGTGTTTACCTCACACCTCTTCAAAGTTTGGAGTATTTTTATTATTTTTCCCAAGTGATATATTTGGGCTGCCCAATCTTTCTTATTGGACCCGAACATCTAATGAGTCCTTCTTTATTTTATATTGGGCTCCTACAACTAATAAGATGACCCAATTAAGTATTTTGTAGTCCGTTGATCCTTATAGTAAGGGCCCAACTAATATT